TGTTTGGTCTTCTTGTCCTTGGAGCTTTAGAGTCACAATTGTCACTCCTCTAATGGCTTACAAACACCAACTAGCAAGAGGATGATTTGAGAGATTGGGGAGGGACTTAGAAATCGGCCAGGGTTCCTTTAGTGACAAGGGTGCAGATTTCCATGACCCTTAGGGTCTATTTATACTTGTAAGGATCCTAGGGTTTCACCATTAAACCCTAATTGGATAACTTAAACCCTAAGCAATCCTAATCCCTTTCATGATAAGCCTTGGACGGATTTTAGGTCTATCCTAAGCCCCTAAAATCGTCCACCCCATTATCCATAAGGGATTACAGCCTAAAGTACAACTATGATACACTTGACAGTTTATGCCCTTCTATTTAATTAATCTCTTTAAGTTACCAAATTAATTCCTAATTAATTTATGACTTATATTAATCAAATACCAATATTATTATTCACTATAATATTTTAACTCTCATTGTAAATCATCCTATCAAGTTGCTATGGTGAAGGCAACCCAAAAGGTCCATGATCAATCGGGTCAAGTACTTTCCAAATATAGTTGCAGCCTTAGACACTATTCCAACAGTCTCCCACTTGAATAAGTCTAGTAACTATATATACCGATTAGCAATCGTAGCTCTCAAAGATGCTGTCAAACTCTGATCTAATCAATTTTGTCCTTTAGATAAGGGATCGTACAGTCCTCTGTTTAGATATCATGCAGACATTCAAATGGAACTAATTGTCTAGCATTTGTTTTCTCGATCTCAGATTTATTTGACATAGAACTTAATCGAGCACATCAATTCAGTTCTGACCGGGCCCGACACATAAGTCAAATCAAATCCTCGAGCGGCCGAGATATCGCTTTTACCTTCTTAGGATAAAAGTAACAGATAAACTTCGACTTATATGCATTTACTTATTCATTAATCAACTATACACAACAATGTGTTTTATAACATCAAGTTATTGATGCGGTTCCGCACCATCAATGTACAACCAATTAACAAATAACAAACCATATATCTAGGTTTTAAGACCATATGATATTATCATCTTGCGATCACCCTTTTGTCATATTCCATAAGGTGATTCCAGCAAGCGCGGGTTTGTTCCAATGCTCAAAACTAGTTCATAAGCACTCATGAACATTGTAGCAAACACTTGCTATGTCTAATACCATTTAGAAAATCTACACACCAATTCATGAAAATCTTCATTCATACCTACTTCCAACATATGAACGATTGTGGACAATTTGAATAATTCGATTATTCTTAATAAACTCAATTATTCTGGAAGTCAAAACATGCAAAGTGAAACAATAGTTAAACAATTAACACAAGACAGTAACATTACTCATAAATAATACTCTTTTATTTAATCATCAAATCTTAATTACATTTATCTATCACGTGTTTTTAACACTATCTAATCTATACTAATATCATCCTTCAGCCCAATGCTCCTAGCATGCTGCAAATGCTTAACCCTGCTCAGTCCCTTCGTAAACGGATCTGTTGGGTTATCATCTGATGATATCCTCTTCACCACGAGTTGTCCTTCTTCTACACGATGTCTTATAAAATGATATTTTCTATCGATATGTCGAGATCTACCATGATCCCTTGGTTCCTTGGTCAAGGCAACCGCTCCTTCATTATCACAGAAAATTTCCATGGGCTCCTTTATGGTAGGTACAACTCCAAGATCACCAATGAAGTTTTTTAACCATATTGCCTCTTTCGATGCTTCGCTCGCTGCGATGTACTCTGATTTGCACATTGAATCAGCTACGGTTTCTTGTTTGGAACTTTTCCAAGTTATTGCTCCTCCATTCAGGGTAAAGACCCAGCCCGACTACGAACGGTAGTTGTCCCGGTCGGTCTGAAAGTTGGCATCACTATACCCTCGCACCTTCAAGTCATCACTCCCTCCAAGGACTAAAAACCATTCCTTGGTCCTCCGAAGGTACTTAAGGATATTCTTCACTGCAATCCAATAGGCTCTGCCAGGGTTCCCTTGATATCTACTAACCATGCTCAAAGCAAAGGCTACATCAGGGCGAGTATAAGTCATAGCATACATGATTGAGCCAACTGCGGAAGCGTATGGTACTCGGCTCATTTATGCTATTTCGGCTTTGGTACTCGGACTATGAGTCTTACTCAACTTGGCATTATATTGTATCGGTAATTCTCCCTTCTTCGAGTTTTCCATACTAAAACGTTTTAGTACTTTATCTAAGTAAGTGTTCTGACTAAGTCCTATTAGTCTCTTACTTCGTTCTCTCCCTATCCTTATTCCCAAAATATAGGAAGCCTCTCCGAGGTCTTTCATAGCGAAGCACTTCCCGAGCCAGGACTTAATCTCCTGCAGTGTCGGGATGTTGTTTCCTATGAGCAGTATGTCATCGACATACAAAACGAGAAAGCTAACTATACTCCCACTGGCTTTGACATATACACATGATTCATCTTCACTTCGTACAAATCCAAACTCTTTGACTTTCTCATCGAAGCAAAGATTCCATCTGCGAGATGCTTGCTTAAGTCCATAAATGGATTTCTCAAGCTTACACACTCTATTTGGATGCTTCGGATCAACAAAACCCTCTGGCTGAGCCATGTAAACATCCTCAGCCAACTTCCCATTTGTAACATCCCAAAAATACAGGCCCAAAATTTCATTTTTAAATACGTCATCAGAAAACCAACAGTGTAATAAAACATCCGTAATATCATGTCATGTCAAAACCAAAGTAGAAATAATCAAACGTGTTATCATAAAATAATATCAGAGTGTAATACCAAAGATCTCATGTGCGGAAAACCATAGTGTGATGCGCTACGATCAAGCCGGCTCCTTTCCTTTAAACACGAAGTACCTGAAACCAAAACTAAAAACCGTAAACACGAAGCTTACTGAGTTCCCCCATCATACCACATACCATATAATCACATAACATACCTATATTGTCAGGCATTTCTGGGGTGCCCGACCTACCCGGTACGGCCTTTCTAGGGTGCCGACCTACCCATGTCAAGCCATTCTGGGGTGCTGACTACCCACGTCAAGCCATTATCGGGTGCTGACTACCCATGTCGAGCCATTCTGGGGCACTGACTACCCTTCGGTCCTAACAACCGAACCTCGAGGACTATTTCACCCCCTACTACTACTGTCACATATAACATAACATAAACATATTATCATACATATATGGGATGTCTGAACTACCCTTCGGTCCTAACAACCGAACCTCGGGGACTAGTTCCCTCCTACTACCTCTATCGCATAAAACATAACAAGCCAGCATGCAACATATCATCACATACTATCAGACGTATCCGGGGTGTTTGACTACCCTTCATTCCTAACAACCGAACTCCACTACTATCACATACAACATATCATGCTAGCATATAACATATCAAGTAGTAGCAAACCTAGATGATATCACAAAGACAATCATCTATCATACATCTCCTACTGGTGGGCCGGCATTGTGGCCTTAGACCCACCGCTACTGGAAGGTAACTCACCTCACACTGCTGAAGTCCCGAAGACACAATCCCACACTTGTTGAAGTCCCGCAGACTCGACCCCAGCTGCTGGCTGACAGATTCCCGAACTGTCAACACCAAAATAACACCCAATTAATAATTGGGTCCCAATACATAACCATAAGTACTTTCTTTGGATAATTACTACATTACCCCTAGCTTGGCTTATTCAAGCCCAAGGCCCAATCCATAGGCCCAAAGTCGACTAGGAATCAAAGCCCAACGCATGGCCCAATTTTCCAAATTGGGCCTAGGCCTATACATGATCTCATTCTAAGGCCCAACCAAAAGTCCAGTCTAACCTTTGACAATCTAATGGTCCAATATCATATAATCATTAAGGCCCAAGCTATAGCCCATTTATGGCCTAATTTCCCAAATTGGGCCCAACCCCTTACATGGGACTTACCTTAGGCCCATTAAATTATTTTAGTCCATATAATTATTCTTGGCTGGCCCATTAATAATCCAACCATCAAGGCCCAATAGAAAGGCCCAACAATAAACCTAAGTGAAGTTAGGGTTTCACATAAAATGCCGATTAGGGTTAAGTTTCCTACTTAACCCATTAAGGAATTAATCCATTAAGGACTTAATCCATTAAGTCCATTATCGCTTAGATTAATCTTTGCCAAAGTTTATTATTTAATATCTCAAGTTATTAAATAATTCTTGTGTGTCCGATTAATTCTCAAAATTAGGGTTTAATTGGCATTAGTGTTTTCCAACCCAAAGACTAACCCATTTATTAACTTGTTGGGCCTCTAGATCAATTAGGGCTTTATTGGGCCTATTAAGCCCACTAAAATATCATTAAGCCCATTAGGGTTTTCCTTTAGGCCAATTAGGGTTTATTACACCCATTAGTCACATGTTTGGGCTTTTGGGTCCATTAAGCATTATTGGTCCCATTAGGTTTAATTAAGTCCATTAAGCATCATTGGGCCCATTAGGGTTTCTTGGTCCCTTGTCCAATCATCCAAACGAGTCCAAACACCATCAAAGCACACCACCACCGACACGGCGGCCGATAGCGGCAGGAGGCGGCAGCCACCACCCTACAGTGGTGGTTTGAGATTTCTTTCCATTATTCCAATTTTTACAATTACAATGAGCTCACGAAATAACACACTATACTAAAATAAACACACATACACAGGCGGCACATGGCGGCTGCCACCCTTCACGGTGGTGGCTGTGGTGGCTTTTCTCACTAATTTCGGCCAAACACAACACCCAAACATACATATTGCTAATGGAAATACAACCAAACACACCTAATCACGAAGTAAAACACACACACAACCACCTCCCATGGTGACTGGTGGTAGCAACCGACGGCACGACGAAATCCCAATGAAACAGTTGTAATGGCGGCGACGGCTTGGCAGAAGGGAAAAAGAAGCACGTCCGAGGGTGGTAGCATACCGCTATGGCATCGTCTACAACACTCATGGCCTTGTCAATAACACTAGCGACAGCGATAGCGGTGGTTTACGACCACCACAGCAACAACACCCACCCGATGGTGGAACATCGAGTCCTTCACGATGGCACAAGGCAAGAGGAGAAGAATAAGAAGTTACAGGGGGACGGTGGCGGTGGCACTGCCATGCTTAATGTCCGACGACGATTCTCAGCCTCACCACCCGCCGGAAAGGTAACAGCAAGGCAGAAATGGCGGGATCTAACGGATGGAGGTGGCGACTGCAACCCGCTTCCCTCCGTTACCGACTGAATGGCAGCATTACGCAATGGAGGCTCGGTGGTTGGAGGAGCAAGAGAGAATGGGTGGCGGCCGGCGGTTGGGAGGCATAAGAGGGGGGGGTGTGACTGACGGCTGCAACATAAGGGGCTTAGGGTTAGGGTTTGACAGTTAAGGAGGCTATATACCCGGTCCCTCATCATATCTTTTCCATAATGACAGTTTAGGCCCCTCCTCCATAGAATCCCTTCAAAACAAGTCTATGATATTCCATTTAAACCTTTCCCCTTCAATTGCTTTACAAATTAAGTCCAACTTTCACAAAAACGGCCCCTAATATTTTAAGTATGCCATAATCAGCCCTTCCACCTCACTTCCTCTTAAATTAGATCCAAATAATTACCATGGAGCCCCTGACTTCATAAATAATTATAACTGATCCCAGAACTTACACTTTTAACCCCTGACTTCTAAAATGTGGCAATTAACTCCTCGAACCCAACACCCTGCATATATAACTATTTATTTTAGGCTACCATTCGTTCATTAATTTATTTATTTAACTAATAAATAAATGGGTGTTACACCATTAAGGAAAGCGGTTTTGACATCCATTTGTTAAATCTCATAATCATGAATGTGGCAATTGCTAGCATCACTCTAATAGATTTTATCTTCGCAACTGGTGAGAAGGTCTCATCATAGTCAACTCCGGGAGTTTGAGTAAAGCCCTTCCCAACCAATCGCGCCTTATATGTGTGTACGTTTCCATCCGCGTCGGTCTTCTTCTTGAAGATGCATTTGCACCCAACGGTATTACGTTCGGGCACGTTATCAACCAAATTCCAAACTTGGTTGTCATACATGGACTGGATCTCGCTGTCCATTGCCTCTTTCCATTTCGCAGACTCCAGGCCTGCCATGACTTCCTTATAGCTATTAGGTTCATCTAGATTTACTAATATACATGTCCCCTTCGGTAGTAATATGAAAACCATATAACTGGGGTTGAACTCTAACTCTTTCGGAACATCTAAGAGGTAAGGACTCGTCAATCGGTTCAACCAGAGTTTTCACCTCGGGTTGAGGGCCAGCGGTAGAGGTTCCTTCATCTATCGACTCTTGAATCTCTTTAAGCTCGATTTTCCTCCCACTGTCTCCTTGGCTTATGAGTTCTAGCTCTCGAAAAACTCCTCTCCTCGCAACAAAGACAACATTGTCCTTCGGTCTATAGAAGAGATATCCAAAGGATTTCTGCGTGTAGCCGATGAAAATACATCGCTCACTACAAGGTTCAAGCTTGTCGTGAGTATCTCGTCTTACGAAAGCCTCGCAACCCCAAACCTTGATATGTGCTAACAAGGGAGCTTTCCCTGTCCACATCTCGTGAGGTGTTTTGGCAACCTTCTTAGTAGGGACTCGGTTAAGGATATGGGTGGCAATCTCTAAGGTATACCCCCAGAATGAGATAGATAGTGAAGCACGACTCATCATAGAGATGACCATGTCTAAAAAGGTTCGATTACGCCTTTCCGCCACACCATTCAATTGCGGTTTCCTAGGTGGCGTCAATTGTGAAACTATTCCACACTCTTTTAGATAGTCGTGGAATTCAAGACTTAAGTACTCTCCTCCTCGATCGGATCGAAGCATCTTGATTTTCTTGCCCAACTGATTCTCCAATTCATTCTTGAACTCTTTGAATTTTTCAAATGTTTCTGACTTTTGTTTGATTAAGTAGATATACCCATATCTACTATAGTCATCGATAAAAGTTACATAGAAGCGGTTCCCATCCTTTGTGGATGATCTAAACAGTCCACATACATCGGTATGTATGAGGTACAATAAACCCTCACCCCTTTCACATGAGCTAGTAAATGGTGACTTGGTCATCTTTCCTAGTAAACAAGATTCGCATGTGTCATCTTCCCTAAGGTCGAATGACTCCAACACTCCCTCCTTTTGGAGTTGGTCTATGCGCTTCTTGTTGACATGTCCAAGATGACAATGCCACAAGGATGCTCTATCCATACTATTGGAAGAATCCATGCATAAAACATAATTTCCTAGGTTATCTACAATCATAACAGTTTCATATATTCCATTACATGGTATTGCTTCAAAATATAAGACACCATTTAGATAAGCACAAATAGAACCATTCTCATTATTAAAAGAAAATCTAAATCCTAGTCTAAACAAACCATGAAATGATGTTTCTTGCCATTTCTGGCGAATAGCAACAATTTTTCAAATCTAAACATAAACCATTCCTAAGAACTAGAGAATACACTCCAATCTTGGTCACAGGCGACGATCTTCTGTTCCCCATGATTAGATTTATTCCTCCATGCTCCACATCCCTATTTCTTCTTAGTCCCTGCAATTCATAACAAATGTGGTAACCACACCCGATATCGAGGAACCAAGAAATAGCATGAGATGAGTCATTAGATTTAATTGTATATATACCTACGAAAGACGGCTTGATCTTTCCTTCCTTGGTAGCTTGCAGGTACTCTGGGCAGCTTCTCTTCCAATGCTCTATTTTGTGGCAATGGTGGCACTCTGCCTCCTTTGGGTTAGAGTTAGGCTTAGCAGGATCAACTTTGGTACCACTAGATGAGGAACCATCTCGGGACTTTCCCTTGTGGTGGCTCTTAGAAGGAGCCTTCCTCTTCTTGCCTCTTCCTTGCCCAATGGCCAAAACAGGAGCAGCGGGTGGATTAGGAGTGGGTGCATCGAACTTGTCCTTGAGATTGCTCCCAGCAACCCTAAGGAGACCTTGGAGCTTACTTAGGGTGACTTCTTCTTTGTTCATGTGGTAGGTCATCCTAAATTGGTTGTAACACGGAGGCAATGAGTGAAGCACCATGCCGATCGCTAAGTCTTCCCCAAAGTCAACATTCAACTTGCGAAGACGATCGACATACCTTTGCATCTTTTGCAGGTGCACGGTTAGAGATTCACCATGACCCATTTTAGCAGAGATCGTGTTAGTGAAGATCTCATAACGTTCTTGCCTCGCGTTTTGGTGGTATCTCTCCAACAAGTCTTGGTGCATTTCGTACGGATACATGTCCTCGTAGGATTTTTGGAATTCGGAGTTCATAGTGGCTATCATGATGCAATGAACCTTCGTTGCATCACGCTCATGAGTTTCAAAAGCGGTGATTTCAGCTGGAGTAGCGATTTCAGGATTGATCTTCTCGAGCTTCTCATCAAGGACATACTCCTTGTCCTCGTGGAGAGCAATCGTGCGAATGTATCTTATCCATTCGCTAAAGTTCGTTCCATCGAAATTCACCTTTTGGCAAAGGCTCATCAATGTGAACGAGCTAGCAGCAGCGTTGTTCGCGTTCGACATCTACAAATAGAAAGGACAAAGATAGATTAGAATTTTAGATCCCTAATTATCACCCAATAAGAAAATTAGGGCTAGGATCCAACAACAATATTTACATATTAGAAAAGGGATGCCGTAATCTAACATGCAAACAATTTGAAGGTAAGTGAATGACGATTCACTAATTCTCCACCATGAAAACATAACTTTAAGTTCTAAATGTATTGACAATTCCTAGGTTTGGATGAGATTCACTGAAACTTTTCAATGGCATGTTTAAATCTCGATATGCCCCTCTCGTTTGTGACTGGGATACCGAGGATCACAAAGTGGGTGTGAATTAGCATGAAAATTAACATGGTGCCTTCATTGTAACAATCACCTATTCGATGTGCAGGTAAACCACACATGCTCCATCGAACTATGATAAACAATGAATCACCCTTTGCCACCTTTGCTTAGAACCAATTAGTGTGCCGGTAAGCCACACACGCTCCACTAACTTCTTAGCAAGGGTGCAACGTGTAATTTCATGGGATTGCATCAATTCACTTTTCCTAAAGTAACTAGGATTGGGAATTTTTGAAAAACATGTAGTTACTTTGTATTTCATATTATACTTTTAATGAGGAGATGACGTTGCCCTATCCTACCCGTTCGGCTAACGACCCTCCACCGATCAAGCAAGCGGTGGGTGTGAGTGTACACCCATTAAGCGCCATTTTATAGGCAGCAACCTTATACCCACCTTATAGACCGGCTTCGTGAATGAGGCCTACTAACGGTAAGACTAGCTTTTTAGTTATACATATATATATATATATATATATATATATATATATATATATATATATATATGCATATATATATATATATATATATATATATTAATCTTGTAATATTATATTAGTATAGGGTTGAATTTTAAACTTGTAAAATTCTAGGGTTTGAAATTTAAATTGTCCAAATTAAACTTTTAATCATAAAACATAAATTTCAAAACTTGAGGGCAGGTTTTAAACTTTTCAAAACATAGAGGATCAAATAACAAATAATCTAAATTAACATTTAATCACATAATTATCCATATTTGATTTATTTAATTATTTCTTGCAAAATAATTTACCAATTTAATTAAAATAATTAATCAATTATCACATAAGGAAACTAATATTTAATTAATTGATAAATATCTTCAATTAGGTCAAGGATATACTAAAATATATCTTAAAATCGGATTTATATTCACCTAATATGATTAAGTTAAGCAATCAAAGGATAAACAGTAAGAAATCCCAAAATTAGCTCTTTCTGACGCTCGAACTCGCCGAGTACCACAATGGACTCGCCGCTTTGAGGCCTAATCGCCGAGTCCACTATGGAACTCGCCGAGTTCATCAGGCAGGAACACAAAATTCGAATTTTTCAAGCATCAAACAAGCAACCAATGCATCAATTCAATAGAAACCAATCTAGGCTCTAATACCACTAATGGGTTTTGGCCATATGAACATTCCTATGTGCACATACAAACCCTAATTCTTGGATCTAGGTTTCTCTAATTGAACATGCATGAATCCAAGACTTCTAATGGTTATTCTATCATTATAACATTGATAAATCAGAGTTATAAGTTTACCTTGAATCACTTGTTTGATCTTCTTGTCCTTGGAGCTTTAGAGTC